ACACACACACAAACACACGCACACACACACACACACACACACACACACACACATGTCAACAATAGTAATAATAATAGACAATAGTATATGCGTCACAGACAAATATAATATATTATATATTAATAATTGTTTTATGTGTTGCTTGTTTATTAAAATGTGACCAATGAGATGAGGCCATGCTATCTTTAGCCCCGCCTCCACAGTAGTTGCTGTTCTGCTATTGGCTGGAGTGAATTAACCCAGAGCTGAACATAAACACTAATGGGCGGAGTCGAGACGACAGAGGAGAATGACTACAGCCAATCAGAGTCAGCGTATCTGCATATCAGGTTTACACTCACTCAGAGTGTTTAAAGACATAAGAATATCACATAAGCAATATTAATATGGCAACACTCAACAATAACACCGCATGTTTATCCAGTATTGTGCCGCACTCATCCACATAATACAGCACACAAATAACACAGATAATCAGATGGACGATGTTTGACCGTGATTCTGACAGCTGATCAGTTATTCTGTTTGCAACATGATTATTTTTTTATTTGTTTGTTTCGTCTAATAGTTCATTCATAATGTCGTCATTTACACTGTACATATTCTGAACAACTGAAGGTCTTTTTAAAGCCAAAGAGCAGATTAATGTATACTGAGTTATTAAAATAACTGATGGAAATAAACTACAGTTAATTAATGAACACACAGTCATCTGGTGAATGAGTTCACATTTCAGGTTAAGTGTAAAAGAAAGCTTCATTTAAAAAATGTAAACTTACTTTTATTCGCAAATTAAATAATTACATTTATATTTAATAATCAAAAGTTTTAATATTTGATTGTCAAAAGCAGGAAACAGCAGCAGCAGCAGCATCTCTGACCAGCACATGTAGAGTTCACAGAAACACAGTGAAGGTGTAGGATTACTACTAACATTTTACTGTGTTACTGAGCACTAAACTAGTGTTTATTAAATCAGTTTAATGAACTGAACCTAGAAGCAGAAAAGAGAAGAAAATGAAATCGTCATTAGAAATAAAATGAATGTGACGTGAATAAAATCAGGAACACTTCACCAAACATGATCTGCTCGCCCTCAAATGCTTTTCATTCTTAATGAGTTTATCTGATCGGCTGAACAGAAAAGGAGATGTCTTGAAGAATGCTGAACAGACTCTGAGTTCCAGAGAATCTGATTTTAGATTTATAGCTAAAAAAAGAAAAATAGCGTAAAGGGGCTAATAATACTGACCTTTAAATGGTGTTTAAAAAATTAAAAAGCTTTTATTCTAGCCCAAATAAAACAAATCAGACTTTCTCCAGAAGAACAAACATTATCAGACACACAGTGAACATTTCCTCAATCTGTTCAACATCATTTGGGAAATAAATAAAATAGAAAAAATATTCAAAGGCGGGGAATAATTCTGACTTCAACTGTATTTCCAACTACAGAAGATAATAGTTTCCAACATTCTTCAAAATATCTTCTTTTCTGTTCAACATCAACAGTTAAAAGCTCTTGAGGGAGAGCAAATGTTCATTTCTCAAATCACTAAATGCCTTTACATATCTCTAATGTTCAGCTGAGCTTCACTCAGTTTACTGAAATCATTCAAAATAAAGTAAAACGTACACAATTATATCAAAACCATGACTGAAGAAGATCACAGACAACCACACAAACTAACCACAAATAACTGACATTTTCAAAAGCCTGTTAAAACACAGAATAACACTAATAAAAGCTGAATTATAGGGTGAATGTGAGCCACAGCGATCTCGCTCTGACTGAGGATGATCTGCTGACGTCTGACTGATGTTTGTTCTTCTGTTAAACACACGACTGCAGTTCACTTTCCTTTCATTTTACAGCAATACAAACTAAAACCCTTAAATCATGTAAACATCAAACTGTTGAATTATTTTCAAATAAAGATGGTCAAGATGAAGACAAAAGGGAATAAACTGAGTAAGGTAAGCGCTGCGGCAGCGTCAGAGAAAGTGAAACAGCAGTTCCTCTTCTCTTTCTCCTGCCGCTGATCTCGCTCTCGATGAAGACGACTTTCAGACGACTTCTGTACTTCTCTAACCATAAAAGCACTGTGTTACTGCTTTACATCTGATTATCAGTCAACCAGAAGATCAAGTCTTGATTTAAGAACATTTCAATGTTTGCAGGAGAAAAGCAGAACAGCTCAACCTGCCTGATCAGCTCCTCCACATCTACAGCCACAGCGACACACACACACACACACACACACACACACACA